AATAACATCGTGGAATTATGATCCGATGTGTGTAATATCAATGCAGTATATTATGGATATTGATTATCAATTTTACTCGTGATCGGATAAAAACGTCAAGATGGATATTTCAATCTGAGAACAAGATGGCCGACCATTTCGATGATTATTATATAGACATTTGTTTTATTATCGTATCGATTGATAAACGTCTATTTAAATGAAATAGAAGTTTCTTTTCTTTTCCTTTTTTTTTTCTTCTTTAATTTTTTCTTTCTTGCATTAAAAAAAAATATAATAACGACGAACACAGACGATGCGTTTTTGTATGCCAGTGTTTTTTTTTTCCTCATACCGATGAATCTTACGAGAGAGAAAAACTGAAAAAAAAGGACAACAAAAAAAGAGAGAAACGTCTAATATCAGATGTTGATAAAGTTTTGAGATTTGACCAAAAAAAAACCCCAGAATGAATGAACGAAGACGACGAATCAGAAAACTCTCGACCATAATACAACAACAACAATAATGGACAACAATAAAGGAATATAAGGGGGTGATATAAATAATATATGATTGAAAGGCCCTTTAAAAAATATTTTCTATCAATACGCGAAAATACGAAATTGTTTAATATAAATTTATCCCATTCTGTATGTGTTAACGTACGATATATGTATGTGTGTATTAAATGTGTGATCGTGTGCGAATAAGTATCAGCGAAATTACGCTCGCGTTCTTATTATTTTCCCCACATGTTTTTATTTACTTATTTAATCCTTTATTCATTATTATTATTATTATTATTATTATTATTATTATTATTATTATTACTATTTATTTATTTATTTATTTATTTTTACTTTAATTTTTTTTTTGTATACTCGTGTCGCACACTCGTACAGCTTGTACTTGCGCGTGCGAGCGTTTTAATATTTCCGCGCTTATATTATTCCGGAGGAGTATTATTATTTTTTTTTGTTTTCTTTTTTTTAGTTTAATTTCATTTATTTAAAAAAAAGAAAAAAAAAAGAAAAAGAAAAAAAAAAACACACACACACAGAGAGAACTCGCGACTCCTACAACAGGCTTGGCAGTATTATGAACAACGATCAGGCCCGCGTCCGCTAAAAAGGACTTTTGAACTTGAACGGGCTTCGCATATTAATCATCGCATTATTATTCAATTTTTTTTTTTCGAAGATCATTTCCTTCCTTCGCTCCTTTCTTTCTTTTCATTTTTTTCTTATTCGTGTATTCTAATTTCTTTCGTCTTTCTAATTTTTTTTTTTTTCATTTTTTCTTATTAAAATTCTTTTTCCCCCTTCTTTTCTCTCTTTTTTTTCTCCCTTAATCCTCCGCGACATTTTTTGGTTACATCTTTTTTTATTCCTTTTAACGTTCCCTCAGACGTAGATTTTTATTGAATATTCTTTATTTTTCCATCACATTTTACTGCTCATTGTTGTTTTTGTTGTTGTTGTTGTTTTCGATTGTTATTATTGTTGTTGTTGTTTTTGTTGTTGCTGTTTGGTATTCATTTTATCGGAAAGAAAAACGACAACGACCTTTTAATTAGGGAAAATGAAATCGACGTCAAACGATTTTTAACGCCCTTGGCAGTGATCGTAGAATTGCATAATTTGTATCTTCCGTTTTTCTTTCCTTCTTTTACGTTTATTATATTTCTCCTTTTTTTTTTTTTTCATCCTCTCATTTCGTACCACTAATATCCCTTCGTCCCGTTAACCGACGATTCCTTATATCTTTATACTTCAAATTACTTTCGTATTTTATTTTATTTCATTTTTTTTTTCGTTCTTATTTTTTCTTTTTTATTAGAACACGCGGGGATCATGCACCGCCCCAAAAAAAAAGGAATGGGTTTTCTCGTGCATCATGAATCTTTTTAGGTTAGTTCGGCGGCCATCTTAATTTCGCCATTTTATTTTTCGAGCACGCGCCATTGATTTCTTCTTTTCTCTCTCTCTCTTTCTCTATCTCTTTTTACTTCTTTCTTGAACGTATCAAGGTTGAATTTACACAGATTAAAGCGTGAAATTGCATCTCGTGAAATGAATGAGCCTCGCTGTCGCGTTAATCTAACGAATTTTAATTTTAATCATAAACGTTTTTTTTTTTTCATTTATTAATAGATAATATCGAATATATATATATATATATATATATATATATATATATATATATATATATGTATGTATATATATATATATGTATTTTATTATCGAAAGAGGTCGATAATAATTATCTCGTCGCGCATATTGCAGCACCGTGTCAGAAATTCAAAAATTATAATACAAACGACGAACCATCATTATCATTATCATTATTATTATTACTATTATTATTATTATTTTCTTTTTCTTTGTTTTTTCTTTTTTCTATTTTTTTTTTGTTTTGTTTTTCTTTTTTTTGTTGGTTTTCAGTATCGGCCGCGCGAGACAGCAGTTTGAAAGATTAGCGTTAAAGCGAGTTAATATTAACAATTTATATTTTATTCGTTTTCTTTCTTTTCTTTTTTTTTCGTCTGGTTTCGTTTGCTTTCGCTTAAAATTGTCTTCTTCTTTTTTCCTTAATTATAAGATATTAATATCAAGACGTCCTCTTTTATTTATTTATTCATTCATTATTATTATTTTTTTATTTTATTTTCTTTTATTATTATTATTATTATTCTTTTCTTTTTTTTTTTTTTAATATCTCGCGGAGAGACCAAAGAGATCAGCTTTTGGAGAATAAAAATCCAAAAAACTCGAAACGCGCGGAGGAAGATATTTAAATCGATGAGTACGTACGAAAAAAAGGGATTATTATTTTTTCACAATTTTTTATAACAATAATAAAAAACGAATCAACTCTCGCTCTCTCTCTCTCTCGCTCTCTCTCTCTCTCTCTCTCTCACTTTCTCTCTATGCTTAAAAATATCCTAAGATCCAATTATATGTAATCGAGATCGCTTCAACAATAAATTTTGTTTTGTCCATTCTCCTTTTTTCATTCTTTCCTTTTCTTCTCCTTTTCCTTTTGCTACTTTTACGATTAAATCCCCCTAAACTGTACGTGTATGTATATTACGCACGTGAAACAACAAAGCTAATGCGTACGATCGTGGATAGTCGTTTCTATTCAAATCGTGATATGTCATCTATAATAACAATAATAATAATAATAATAATAATAATAAAAATAATAATAATAATAATAATATTAATAATAATAATGATGATAATAATAATAATAGTAATAATAATTATCCTATATATATATATAACACGATGAGGAAAGGGAATAATATAATAATAATAATAATAATAATAATAATAATAATAATAATAATCATCATCATAATAATAATAGTAATAATAATAATAATAATAATAATAATAATGATAATAATAATAATAATTATTATTATTATAATAAACGAGAAATTTGAAACTTAATCAAAGCAAACACGACCTGATTTACGAAGAGTTGTTTCAATAGATATAATACATTTACACATACACACACATACACACACGAATGCATACACACACGCACATACACATACACACACATAGTGTGTGTGTGTGTATGTACGAGATAAAAATATTCAACAAGCCGGATAAACGAATGGAGGGTTATTATTCTTTCTTTTTACTTTTTTTTTTCTTTTTTTGCATTCTGCGATTGAAACATCAAATTAGAAAAATTATGTTCAGAGAGAGAAATCTTTCTAATAAAGATATTATATATATATATATATATATATATATATATATATATATATGCAAGTTATACATATGTACAATTCTCAATGTATGATATCGAACAGTATCTCGAAAATATTTTCGACGAAACGTCATTGATTAAGGCGCTCGAAGGGATGGCGTTGATATCTCTCGATAAAGGGAAGCTCTCTAAAATCGTGATCCTTTAAAAGTCGCACGAAAGATAATAATAATAATAATAACAATAATAATAATAATAACAATAATAATAGTAGTAATAATAATAATAGTAGTAGTAATAATAGTAATAATAATAATAATAATAATAATAATAATAATAATAATAATAATAATAATAAGATTTTCAAAATATACGTAAGCTAATGTAGATTTTAATTTCTTATTTCTGTTTCTTTTCTTTTTTGTGGGTTGACATTTTTATTATCAAAAAAAGAAAAAAAAAAAGAAAATAATAATAATAATCATAATAATAATATTTATAATTATATTTATAATAATAATAATAATAATAATAATAATAATAATAATAATAATAATAATAATAATAATAATAATAATAATAATAATAATAATAATAATAATAATAATAATAATAATAATAATAATAATTATAATAATAATAATAATAATAATAATAATAATAAAAAGAACGAACAAATGAAAAAGTGCGACCTGCCGGTGACGGTTCGTGACGATTTTTAGGGAATGCAGCAGCCTTAATAACGATTATTATTATAATCCCGTTTTTCTTTTACTTTTATTTCTCTACATGTTCTCTTTCCTTCCCCATATTCAGTATTCTTTGTTTTTCTTTTTCAGGACCTTTTCTCGATCCTTTTACTTATTTTTCCCTTCTCTATTAATTTTTTTCCCCTATTTGTTTTGCTTTACTTTAAATTACTTTAACTTTACTCCCCAAAACAGTTTTTTTATCTTTCAATCTCTCTCTCTCTCTCTCTCTCGCTCTCTCTCTCTTTCTCTCTCTCTCTCTCTCACTCTCTCTTTTTCTCTGTTTTTTTCTCTCTCTCTCTTTCACTCTCGAACACTACGAAGATTTTCTATCAGTCCTTCTCCTCGTGCTCTCACCAAACTCGACGGACCTTTCACATTCTCTTTTTCATCCCTCATATTTCTCCACAGGTTAGAATTAAAAAGCAAACAAAAAGAAAAAAAAAAAAACGAAACAAAAAAAAAAAGAAGAGAAGAGAAAAGAAAAGAATAAAAATAGAAAAAATCTTAGAATTAATATGCCAAATTTATATATACTATATATATATATATATATATATATATATACATATATATATATATATATGTGTGTGTGCTACATATATGTATGTATATGTAACATTTTTTTTCTTCTTCTAATACTTATTGCACAGTCTTTGCTTTGGTTGTTAGACTAAAAAACGATCGAAAGACGTTAAATTTCTTACTTTTTTAAGAAAGAAAGAAAGAAAAAAAAATGAAAATAAAAAATTCGAAAAAAAAAAAGAAAAGGAAAAAAGAACAAAAACAGTACACGGTCATGATCGAGATCGAGATCGATAACTAGGACAAACGAACAAACGAACGATCTTATAGAAATTATTAATTGTGAAATGACCGTCCTCGGTGGAAGCACGAATTATAAATATATGTTCTCTTTTTTGTTTGTCCTAATTTAATTTAATTTAATTTAATTTAATTTAATTTAATTTAATTTAATTTAATTTAATTTAATTTAATATAATTTAATTTAATTTAATTTAATATAATTTAATCCTTCGCCGAAAGAGATCTTTAATTTTCTTATCTCTTTCACTCCTTTTCGATTAATCAACCTTTTCCCTTCTTCTTCTTAATATTTTTTTTGTTTTTTTTTTCTTTTTAATTTTTTCTTTTTTTTCCTTTTTTGTCTTTTTTTTTTTTTTTTTTTTAAATATAACACCTAATTTTGAGAATAAGAGGCTAGATAGACGGTAGTGTTCGATTTGTTTTCCTTGTTATTGTTGTTGTTATTGTAGTAGTAGTAGTAGTAGTAGTAATGGTAGTGTCTAAGTGGTAGTTGTTGTTGTTGCTTCTTTTTTTTTTTTCTTTTCAACATACTACTACCAGCCCTTTAGAGAGACGCAATGCCTTATTAATACAATATTATTTATATGAAAGAACGAACTGGTTCACGCTTCTATTTTTCTCCTCAACTCCCCTTCTCTATCCGATCCTCCCCTCCGATTCGGAATTTATATATATATATATATATATATATATATATATATATATATATATATATATATATATATGAGAAAAAAAAAGAAAAATATTTTTATCGAAAAACGAGGGGAGATTTAGTAAACCTTGCTAATGATAAGAACGTATAATTAATAATAGGCAATGTGTCGCACGCGAAATCATGTCATGTACTCTTTTCGTTATCTCACTTTCTCTCTCTCTCTCTCTCTCTCTCTCTCTCTCTCTCTCTCTCACTCTCTCTCTCTCTCATCCTCGTACACATATTCTTTTTCAAAATAGGGTTACTATGCGCGCGGCTATTTCCAAAATGACGATTCTCGAGTTCCCTCAGCCCCCTTAACAACAAAGAATGATTTTTCGTACGCGTGCAAAGATTTGAGTGTATTAAAATCATGTAATATGTTTATATATATATATATATATATATTTATATATTATATATATTTATATATTATATATATATGCTTATATATATATATACACGTGTGTGTGTGTGTGTGTCTGCATCTGTATATCCATATAGTAGATTATTTGATCGATCAAAAATATGTTTCTCTCTTTTGTCATTCAGTTTGTCTTACTTTCTCTCTTTCTCTCCCCCCTCTCTCTCTTTCTCTCTCTTCCTTTGTTAACGAGATTGAAACGACAAAATTGCAAGCGATCGGAAATGACACAATGGCGATGATAATTTCTTTCTTTATCTTTCTCTCTCTCTCTCTCTCCCTTCCTCTCTCTTTCATACGCATACTTTTCTTTCGCACTCTCTCATTCTCTCTCATTCTCTCTCACTCTCTCTCTCTCTCTCTCTCTCTCTCTCTCTCTCTCTCTCTCTCTCTCTCTCTCTCTCTCTCTCTCTCTCTCTCTCTCTCTCTCTCTCTCTCTCTCTCTCTCTATTTCTCCTCTTTTCTAAATTTTTGCAAATACTCTGATTATATACCGGATCCTAAATCTTTTTTTCCGTGAGTCTCATCCCAAACCTTAATATTCCTTCGTATGTTATTTTTCGCGTTTAATACACTCCTCGCTGTGTGGCAGTGTCTCCGCCTCTCGTTTGGCGGTTTCGTTTTATTTTTATTTTTATTTTTATTTTTATTTTTATTTCGTCTTTCCTTTGTTTTTTTTTTGTTTTTTTTTTCTTTATTATTTATTTATTTGTTATCTCTCTTTCTTTCTTTCGCTCTCTTTCTTTCCTTTTGTCGATCAATCCCGTGTTGTCATCCTCTTATATCAGATACTTTTCTTATTTATTTTGTAATTATGTAATATATATTTATATATATATATATATATATATATATATATATTCCATGTATATATCTTATTATTTTATATATATATATATATATATATATATATAATATATAGAAGAGAGACGTCGATCCGAAATCGCGCGTGTCACGCCTTATCTATCATCCAGAAATCTTTTCTAATTAAAAGTAAATCATCCGTGCACGTTTCTAGCACGGAAAGAGAGGTTACGTTTGTTGTTTATCGAACATAGCGCGAAGGGTTTTCTTCTTTTTCTTCTTCATCTTCTTTTTCTTCTGCTTTTTCTTCGAGAGGAAAGAACTAATGTTCTTTCATAGATCCGGTCGTCGATGATGTATATATCGCGCAGGAGAGGGATCGATCGATCGATCAATATTTGTGCCAATAGCGGAGAAATTTTCTTTTTCTTTTCTCTCGTTTTTTTTTTGTTTCTTTTTTGTTTTCTTTTTTTGGTTTTTTTTTGTTTTTGTTTGCTTTTTTTTGTTTTTTTTTGTTTTTTTTTAATTACAATTACCACTAGTTTTTACTGTTATTGTTGTTGTTGTTGTTGTTGTTATTGTTGCTCTAACGCTCGTAAGAGGATTCTTTTTATGCTCGCAACAACGCTGCAAAGCTTTCTTTCGATTTCTTTTTTATTTTTTAATTTCTTTTTCTTTCATCCTTTTTTTTCCTATTTCAACACCCGCGTTGTAACGTTTCTCACTCATTCTCAATCTGTCGCGTCTATTTTTCTATTATAATTTTCCCGGTTTTTCTTTTATTTAATTATTTATTTATTTATTTATTTATTCGTTTATTTATTTATTCACTCATTCAATCATTCATTAATTTATTTATTTATTTACTTGCGTGTTCTTTTTTTTTTTTTTGCTCCTTTTTTTTCGTCTTCTTCCTTCTCCTTTTAACTTTCGTTCTTTCACGCGTGCGTAGTACTTTTTATCATCCTTCTTTCTTTCATTTTCCCATTTTTTTCTTTTTTTTTTTTTTTCATTTTTTTGTTCTTTTTTTACTTTTTAACTTTTAATTTACTTCGACAGAGTTATAATAATCTTGAATAACAGTTAAACACGATAAACACGTGCGTGTGTACGACGACGATGAGCGATTCTCAATTTCTTTAAGACTGTTATCATAGATACTCTCATTCACACATTTTGTTTTTCTTCATAGTTCTTTACTTATCCTTTTTCTTTCCTTCTCCTTCCCTTCGCTTTCTATTTTTTATCTGTTTTATATAGAGGACCATATATTGATTGGTTGCCCTCGTCGAAAAATGATCCGTTTGAATTTCTTTCACCGTTCTATGTATGGAAACCTGGACTTTTATATCTTCTGTTCGATTGCGTTACATTATTGTTATTATTACTATTATTATTATTTATTATTTATTATTTATTATTATGTATCATTATTATGTACCATTATTATTATTATGTATTATCATTATTATTATTTATTATTATTATGTATCATTATTATTATTAATAATATTATCAATAATATTATCGTTATCATTATTATTATTTATTTATTATTATGCATGCCCTTAGTGTTTTGCTCGGTCTCTCCCTTCTTTTCTCTTCCTCTTTTTTCTTTTTTTCTTTCTTTTTTTGTTCTCTTTGAAAAAAATAAATTTTGACAAAAGTACTTACACGAGGCAGTCACTATACCACATTCCATCTTTCTTACCACATATTTACTTTCTCAGTCACGCCACTTTCATTCTTGCGTTCTTTCATTCTTTCTTCTCTCTCTCTCTCTCTCTCTCTCTCTCTCTCTCTCTCTCTCTCTCTCTCTCTCGTTCTTTTTTGTATTTCTCAAATGAATTTCGCACATTAAAGCGCGCGTGTTGTCTCTCTCTCTCTCTCACTCTCTCTCGCTCTCTCTCTCGCTCGCTCACTCGTTATTACACGTCACAGGAATTTTATAACGTACTGTTCGTATTAGTATTAGTATTATTATTATTATTTCTTTTTTTTATTTTGCTTTTTTTTTTTTATATCTTTTCGTTAAAACTTGTTTGGTACTTACTACGGAATAACAACTGCGTACAATCAGTTATAATAGCATAGAATTACAGTGTTACAACATCGAGAATTCTTAGTGTACTTTGTATCTTTATGACAACGCGTGTATGTAAATTTCTTTCTCTCTTTCTCTCTCTTTCTCTCTCGAGTGAATGTATGTGTGTCTGTGTGTGTATGTGTCTATGTGCTTTTATCCTTTCTTTTCTCTTCTTCACTTTTGGATTTCACTCCTATGCTTTTTATTTCCTTCATTCCTTCTTTCCTTTCTTTCTTTCTTTCCCCCCCCCACGTCTTTTTTTTCTTTTTCTTATATATTTATATGTGTGTTTACATTTATTCCATAAAATCGGACTTTCGTGAGACAAATTCACAACTTGTGCGTGAACTCGAGAGAACTGTTCTTCATATTTTTTTTTTTCTTTTCTTTCTTATACTTTGCTCTTTTCTTTCACAATTTTTTGTTTTTTTTTTGTTTTTTTTGTTTTTTAACTTTTTTGCATTTATTTATTCACTTATTTATTTGTTTGTTTAATTATTTTATTTATTCAATTTATTATTATTTATTTTTCTTCTTCTTCTTCTTCTTCTTCTACTTCTTCTTCTTCCTCTTCGTAATTTTGTTTTCGATCGCGGATTTAATGAAGAACGTACGCCATTTTATTAATAAAGACGGTCGGGTGCTTGTGTAATTTTAAAACAAAATGGCTCCTTTACCGACAGTCAGGTCAGGTCAACCTT